ATGAGCACATCCTTTGGAAGACTGCTTGACAGAATACGACAACACCAAGGCATCAGGCTTCCCCTAAAATTAGAGCCGCCATACGGTACTAATAACACCGTCTGGGCTCTGGCAAAGCGCTGGTCTGGCCGCGTTGGCAGCGTCCCTTCAAGAAGTACCTTGCCACCGCATACCTGGGTAATCACGGGCGTAGCTGTCCGCAAGGCCCTGGCCAGCCCTTGCCCTGCAAGGAGGAAGTACCTTCGCATGGGCTGGGGCACAGCTCAGCACGGGGTCTGCATTGCACGCTTCTGCTCCCAGGGAAGAAAGAACGGCCCTCCTGGTCGCGGGAGGGGGTGGTAGTAAGCCAAGTCGGGAACACTGATCAAAGGCCCTTGTCGGAGCAGGAGGAGGCCCAGCTCAAGGGTTCTGGAGCCTTCTCTTGCATTCAGGCAGGCCGTTTACGCAGCCCCAGGCCACAGGTATCTGCACCAGCCTCCGTGGCCCTTGAGTTTGGAAACCCTCCCAAATCACATCCGGGAACAAGCAAAAGAATTGACCTTGAGCGGTGAGGTTTTGAAAAATATTTCCAATTCAGAGGTTCTCCAGCTCCGTGGTGCATTCGTAATCCCCTGGAGGCTGGGTGAAAACAGATTGTGGAGGCTGCCCCCAGGGCTTCTGAATCTGTAGTCCTGGGTGGGGCCCAGGATCCACATCTCCTAAGCCCCAGAGGAGCTGCTGAGGCCGCTGTCCCAGGAGCCACACTTTGGGAACCGCTGTTCTCATTATTTAAAGAGAATGATTTAAGGGCATGAGAACGTTGCTCTGAATAACAAGGATATTATTATCAAATGCCTCCCGTGTGCCAGATACTTCGCTGCCTTTGATATTTACAACACTCCTGCCAAGAAGGAATTAATATCCTGCTTTGCAGACTAGGATTCTGGGACTCGGGAGTTCAGGGACATGCCTAATGTTGCACAGCTAACCACCAGCAGAGTGGAGATTTTAACCGAGGTCAGGGAGACTGGAAACTCTCTTTCTCTCCATCTTCTTTCACTGCCTGTCTGGTGAACCGGGGGCAGGCACTGGAGGGGGGCGGGGGCGGGAGGAAGTTACATGCCAAGCAGGGGCGTCGGGCGTGATGATGGGCACCTGACAAAGCCGTGTGCCAGGCAAGCCTAGAGACCACCCAGCTCGGCCACCTGCAAACGAGTCAGCCCCCCCGTGGAGGGTGTGAGGGTCACGGGCACCAACAGAGGACGTGGACTCTCAGCTGGCCCAGTAGAGAGAGAACACCTATCCTTGGAGAGACACGGTGCCTTCCATGTGAATTACACTATCCCCGAAGATCCTCTCCTGCTGGGATGGGAAGGACGCTTGGGTCCGTGGTTGAGTGCACTTGAGAGAAGAAGGGACCGTGTTGCCCATGTGCCTTTGCCAACTCAGAGAAGGAGAGGGAGGGAGCACAACCACCATTTACTGAGCATCTACTGTGAACCAGACGACTTCTCGTACCAACTGTCCGTTTTAGGGCTAAGGAGACGGAGGTGCAGAGAGGTTAAGTGACTTGCCCCAGGCCGCACAGCAAGCAAAAAAACTGGCAGATGGGACTTAAACTCAGGTGTCCAAGGAGACAGAGCTTGCACTCACCCCCTGACTGACACGCAGGGTCTCAGGTGCAAAGTGGGTCCTAAAAAGTCTGGCTCCTTCATTAGATAACTGCATTAAACTCATCAGACTTCGGCCAGGTTCTTTGGTTCCCAGGGATAACCAGCCTAAACATGAGACTCCTCCCATTAAGGAATTCCAGAAAAGCTCTCTATGGAGTCTCTAGCCTGAATTTCCAACGCCACCTTTTCCCCCAAAAGGTTCTCCCCTAACATGCGAGAACATCCCGACACCTTCCTGCCAGTGGGAGTTTAGTGAGATGGGAGCTCTTACCCGAATCCGTGTGGATTGCAGGTGGGTGAGGCCAGGCCACAGGCAAAGGGACTCCCTCTTTATGTCCTCTCCCTGTCTGCCTTCCAGCCGAGAGAGGGGGCTTTCCTCTCTCTCTCCTGGGCCATGGTGGAATCTGAGCTGGGACCTCAGCTCTGCACAACTTGTAACAGGAGAGAGCCCCCCACAGTCACAAAACACTGATCCAGGCGGAGCAACAATGCAGAACCACGCCTGCGCCCCAACCGCCAACACAACTGTGCATTGTGTTGTCAGGTTCCCACTGGGTGGCGGCCCACCCCCCACCCGACCCCCCTGAAAGGAGCCAGCCAGGCCCTGCACAGACACCCGCTGGGCTCCAAGTCAGCTTCCGCTGCACTGTCTCAGCCGCATATTTTCACAGATGGGTCTCGAGGCGGCCCCCCTCCAGGACTGCGTCTTTGGAAGGCCCTTAACCAGAAAAGCCCTTGAGGGTACACCGGGGTAGGCCTGAGGACATCAACCAGCTCCTGGAGGAATCATCGAGCCAGGCAGCAGAAATGCAAATACCTCCGAGCTTCGGAGTGTAGGGAGAGCCTCCCCACGTCCGTCCATCGGCGCCCAACACAGACATTGTCACATTTCCCTACACTGACCTGATGAGGATTTCTGCCAGCTTAAACGCCCAGGCAACAGCAGGTGGGGGGAGCAGACTCTGAGGCTCACTGTGGCTGCGGTCTCCTACCGCTGAGTATTGTGTCTTGCCTTGTTTGATAACAAGCTGTTGTATGTCTCAATGTAAATACAATCTAAGGCGGCATATGGTTCGCAAGGCATCATTGACGGCTCTCCCCGTGCGCCAGCTTTCTGCTCTGCGAGGCTCGCTGCCCCCACAGTGCAGCCGTCGGGGTCCACCTTCCCTTGGCCTCAATCTGTCTGCCGAGGCTCCCGCTGACGCTAACGGGAGGGAAGCGTGCGGGGCCTGGGGAGACCGGGCTCCGGCACGGGGTGCTAAACGAAGTCAAGCAACTGTCCAAAGTGAAATACTGAAGGGAGTCGGCTGTTCTGCAAGAAGATGTTTTTGGCTAAGGCCGCTTAAAAATGAGACCCAACCAAAACATCTGCGACACCACAGAAACGGGGTATCCTTGCAAAGGACCGCACGACCGTTCAACTTAATCTATTCTCAGTGTGGCGTTAGACGCACCTAACGTCACCAGGCACAGAGCTCAGTTTACGGAGGAGACACATGAATCGCAGGAGTTGTTACGGTCACGCGTTTTCATCGTGAGAGCCTTGGGACCTTCTCAAAGCGTGAGGCTGCCAGGTGATCGGAGGGACTGGGGCCAGCAGGGCCCGGCAAGGCTGGTCATGGCATCCTGACCTGAGAGCATCATGGCTCTCCCTGGTAAGCCTCTGTTACACAGACACCCACCAGAAATGTTGTGTGGGCCTTGCCATCTACTCCCGCCTTTGTTATTTCTTTCTTTTCTTTTCTTTTTTTTACTTTAGAGACAGAGAGAGAGAGAGAGAGAGAGAGAGAGGAAGAGAAAGAGCGGGAAAGGAGCAGAGAGAGAAAGAATCTCAAACAGACTCCATGCTGTTGGTGCAGAGGCCGACACAGGGCTCGATCCCACAACCCTGGGATCATGACCTGAACTGAAACCAAGAGTTGGACGCTCAACTGACTGAGTCTCCCAGGTCCCCCTGCATTCACCTTTTTTTTTTTTTAACTTTGCCCATATGCTCTCTCTCTAGGTGGGAATGTCTGTCTCAACCTGTCAGACCCTCAGGAACGAGAATTTCAAACCCCTTCTCTGTATCTTTTGCTTTGTATTCTCGGGGATTGAGGGAGGCAGGGAAGCTCCCAGGACAACCATCATCAGCCAGGAGAAGGAATCCGGAGTCCAGGTGAAGTTATCGGGTGGATAGAGCTCAGGATCTGGGGGGAATGAAGTTACAGTAAATGGGAAGCCAGGTTAAGGGCACAGAAGGTGAAAGCCAGGTCAGCCGTGCCTCAGACACAGTCTGGATGAAGACCCACGAAGCGGGTTTCTGAGTGTGAAAAGAGGCCCTAATGGTTTAAAAATGCCTGGCCTGTCACCTTCTCACTGTAGTGCCCAGCTGGCTGGTTAACCCTTCATGTCCAGCCTGTCTGCCCTGCCGGACCTACGGCTACAGTAAAGCACCTGATAAACGCCAACAGCCCTGACTGGAGTCCCGCGATTATCTCCCTGTATTTCAGTGGAACGTAATATTGAAATACAATATTTATTTTTTGCTTGCACACAGAATATTCCGGTTCAGCTTTGCAACCAACAACTAGAGAGATGACAACACAGAACCGTAACCACACCTGTGAATTCCACCACAGAAGCACCGTCGGGAATCGGCACAGAGCACCCCCCTTCCCACTACTGGGTGGAGCTAGGCTAACCTGGGGATGAGGGTCTAACACGGGGTGAGAGCAGATGCCCTGTTGCAATCAGGAAGCCCGCGGGGTGCAGCCCAGCCTTGCGATAGCAGGGCAGAAGCATCCCAGAAAGAAAGCGTGCCTCTGTCCAAGGCCTACCCACCATGCAACTTCATGCAAACCACAAAGGATACTTTTATTCCCGGCCGACTGTACAACCTTGACTTCAACTCTAATGCCACACTGCTCCAGGAAGCAACCAGGATAGAAATGAGCCATGAAGCAGGCCAGGCCTCCAGAAAGTGCCCTGTCCAGAACCTCCCACCCCCCAGAAGTGAGCAGGGCAGAGCCACCAGAGGGTAAGAAGAGCCACCAGCCAAGCTGGAAACCCTTTCTGGGATCTTGCTGTGTTTGAGTGCTGTCAACACTCCTGGTAGACTGAGGGGGTTAAGATCCTGTCCTGAGACCCGAGGCTTAGACAGCCCCACACTCACAAGAACAAAAATGTTGCTAATGTTCACACGGCTCCCTCAGCCACTGGGGATCCAGTGCTCAGGGCTGGCAAAGCCTCACTCATCACCCTAATGTCCACTCCTGTGCCCAACACAGCTCGGGCCCCAGGCAACAGCTTCTCCATGGCTTCTCCGTATCTTGTGTCCTATGGCCTTGGGAAAAAAGAAAAACTCACCGCCTGCAAGACATGAAGGTCTGTGGGTCGTACTGTGGCTGCAGATACAAGGCAAGATGGTATTCCAGAGCGCAAGGAGGATTTGACCGGCAGACGCATGCAGGGGAGAGAAAACACAAGCAAGTTAACTGGTCAGCTCTTTCCCCTCCGACCCTCCACTTCCCAGGAGAACTACTCATCCATTTCCTGGCTTCAACTCCTGGTCCTGTAGCTACTGGGGAATTACCACGATATTTGCACCAACGTGGTGGCTGAGAAACGTGATGATGCGCCTCACAATTCCTGTCACCCTCAACCCCGTGTCTGTGTGGGTCTAAACAGTCCGTGTGTGATGCATGATACGGATCCCTTCTGTTAGCCACTGGGTGAGAGTCGGAAGCTAGCAATACGAAGCATGATCGGCATGAATATTTAATCAGATTTCAGTTTTTAGAAAATTAAACTTCAAATTCAGTTTTCTTTAAATAATTTTGTCGTACCATTTTCCACATTTATTAATTATAATCTGTATTTTTCCCTTTCCCGTTTTAATTTTTATATTTTGTAGGAAAAAGTAACTTTCTTTGAAAATACGTATGAAAAATTAATTTTGATATTTTTACATGTACTTCACACTTTTTATGAAACACACCCACGTGTTGCATATTTTAAATACACTTACATTTTTTAAATCCTTGAGCTCACTGCCGTCGACAGAACAAACTTATGTGAGCACATTTGCCACAATGACAGAATTCGTGACCATGCTGAGCTGAAGACAAAAATTTAAGGAAATAAACATGAAATAATTACAAATCATGCGCCTTCATTTTGTTAGTCATTCAAACAGAACAAAGGAACGTTTAAGCACGTGCAGTAATAGTTAATGCAGCCGCTTTGGGACAGCTGCCAAACTTTGGTCATGTACAAATCACAGCTTTACACGTTTTTCAGTTGTCCTTATGAATGTGTGGGGTTTTTTTTTAAGTTCATTTATATTTATTTTGAGAGAGAGAGAGAGCGAGCACAGGTAAAGGGCAGAGAGGGGGAGAGAGAGAATCCCAAGCCAGTTCCACGCTGTCAGCACAGAGCCCACTTTGAATCCTCTATACCCTCCCCCTGCCCCTCCCCTGCTCACGCGAGTGTGCACTCTCTCTCTCAAAAATAAATAAACATTAAAAAAAAAAAAAAAGTAAGAAGACAGAGCATACTTTATTTAACCGTTGGTAGGCTGATTTATATTCCTAAATACTGGGACACACGATGGTCCCCAATTGTACCTGTCCGGAGCTCTGCTAACGCCCAGAGTCAAGCCCACAAGTCTGGAGAGGATTCGGCCACACGCGTTTACAAACACGGAAGACAGACGCCATTATACATTTTCCTTTATTTAAAAAAAAATTTTATTTTATTTTATTTTATTTTATTTTATTTTTTTTACGTTTCTATTTATTTTTGAGACAGAGAGAGACAGAGCATGAACAGGGGAGGGGCAGAGAGAGAGGGAGACACAGAATCCGAAACAGGCTCCAGGCTCTGAGCTGTCAGCACAGAGCCCGACGCGGGGCTCGAACTCACGGACCGTGAGATCATGACCTGAGCCGAAGTCGGACGCTTAACCGACCAAGCCACCCAGGCGCCCCTAAAAACAAATTTTAATGTTTATTCATTTTTGAGACAGAGAGAGAGAGAGCGTGATCAGGGGAGGGGCAGAGAGAGAGGGAGACACAGAATGTGAAGCAGGCTCCAGGCCCTGAGCTGTCAGCACAGAGCCTAACTCGAGGCTCAAACCCACAAACCGTGAGATCACGACATCAGCTGAAGTCAGATGCTTAACCGACTGAGCCACCCAGGTACGCCTTATACGTTCTCCTTCAAATAACCTTTAAGCAACTTCAAAACACCTCCAGCTTTTGTTCATAGGAATTTCTTTGGGCCTTTACAATAACTTTTCTCACCATCTTGCCGAGTAAAGCACCCCAGCACACGGCTCAGTGCCCGACACAGAGATCTCCCGTAAATATTTGTTGACCGAACGCACTTTACCGACCACGGATTGTGCTCTGGCTTCGACCCCTCTATGCTGCCCGCACCTCATTCATTACCTGTAGGAAGAGAACACGAAACCTCAGCAGAATGTGAATGAATCCCGGATGGTTCAATCGACAGCTTGTAAATCCCCCCGAAAGGAATTGTGACTTCCATTTCACTCATGTGTCACAATCGGACACCTACTGTAAGCTGTCACCATCACCCTCAGGCACGGGTGGTGCCATCTCCGCAGAAACAGGGGTCCCGGCCGTCGTACTGTGACATCTCTTGGACGGCCTGCATCACAGGGCACTGGAGCCACAGAGCCTTCCCCTCATTTCGGGAAGAAAAAGAACGGCCGCGTGTGCAGCTGTGCTATGTCACCGAGCACGTCCCCGAGAGGACGTGAAGAGGCTGTAGGCGGAAGCAGAAAACAACACAACAACCCAAGCTGGAGAAAAATAGCTGAGCTTCACGTCGAGAGACGATGCATTTTCAGCCGGCCACACGCTGTGCACGAGTTGCCGATGGCTCACACTCAGATTGATCTGGAAGTGACAGAACCACCGGGTAATTTCACCAGGCAACGAAACACGCCAAACCACCGTTTTCTTATCTGCACAAAACAGATCCATTTCTCCCAAACGGCCAAGAATGGCACTGTGTTTGCCCCCAAAGCCGTGCTTCCCAAGATTTTGCACAAAAGGGCACACATACAAAATCGTATTTGTGTGGGCCCCCCCATCCCGGGGTAGATGGGAGGCTGTCGCTCAAAGCAGAAAGTGATCAGCTGGGGATCTTTGGTTGCACATGCTCCTTCCTGACCCCCGAAGAAGGCCAGTGCAGCGGGGGTGGGGGTGGGGGGGGTGCACTGTATTGGCACAGCCGAAACCCATTTGGCTCATGCCTCAGTCCATCATGAAGTCCCAAAAAGCCAATGGAGAGAGGTCCTTTGTAATTCTAGGATGCGAGGCTCACCAGGGGAGGGGATTAGGAAGGACCCACCAGGAATTATGTGAGGAGGCACTGCCTTCTTGGGCAAATGCATGGCCAAGCACAGCCCTGTCCTTTGTAGGAAAACAGGATCCATGGTAGAAAAGCGTAAGAGAGGCCGTGAGAGGCTTTATTCCGGGCCTCCTCTTTGCCCAGCCCAAATGAGCTCCTGCACATTCTCAGATTCTCTGCTGAGCTCTGCCAATTCTCCCTCGACCGAAAGAATGGGGGCGCCCTTGTTGGTGGCTGTGCCATCCTGAGACACTGCCTGGAGAGCCCCTGTATGTTTAGCCTTTCATCTCTAGAGTAAAAGGAATTTTTAGAGCAATCACAATAAGTAGGAAGCGTGTTGTAAGGAAGGAAAATGGTTTGCAGATCGATAGGATTAAGAAAGTAGGTGCTCCTAAATTCATAGCAAGCCTCCGGAGTGGCCCCAAAGGTGACCAATTACAAGTGTTGATTAAATTGCGCTTCTGAGCAAATCTTGAGAGGATAAGACAAAAATAATGCCTGAAAAGCATTTTTATGTCCTGATTAAAAGTCAGGCATGCAGTGGATCAGACACCCAGAGCAAATCAGTTTTTAAAACTCCCCTCTCTATGCGGCCAAGTTATTCATCTAAGAATCACATAATAATCGGTAATAGCCATTACCCTCTTGATGAGTTCGTTAGCTTTAAAATGAACCATTAACAATTGAGAAAGAGAAATGAATGCCAGTGTGAAAAACAGCACTTGGACTCCGTGAAACATTTCATGTATGAACTAATATTTGCACTACCAACTAAAAATGTTACACCTTCCCATTCACCCTCGGCCTCGGCTGGGCTAAATTCTTAACATACACGAAATCGCCAAGCAGTCACGCGGATGACAGAATTGAGGTAGCTCAAGTACGTGTCTTTGTCTTTAAGATCACTGTTCTACCATTCATCTTGTTTTGTTGTTGTTGTTTTGTTTTGTTTTGTTTTGTTTTAGGTACGCTCCACACTGGGAGTAGATTCCATGCCCAGCATGGAGCCCAACATGGGGCTTGAACTCAGGACACTGAGATCAAGACCTGAGCTGAGATCAAGAGTCAGGAGCTTAACCGATCAAGCCACTCAGAGGCCCCTACCGTTCTTTCTGAATCTAGCATTTCTTATTTGTCCTTTGAGAGATTCTATTCATGTATAAAACATACATACGTACATACATGTCACTTTTTCAAATATTTTTCAGTGTTCTGTATAGTCTTATTTCGCCGAACGCTGTATATTGGAGGTTATTTTTGTATCGTTATATATAGATCTGCCTTATTCTTGTTGATCATATTCCATTAAATTGATATACTATTTTTAAAAAGAGGAATATGTCACACCTCAGTGGGGGGTGTTGGAGACAGGGACAGCACCCTAAGTGAGCTTGGATACTTCCAGACCATTATGATGAATGTACTCCCGAAATAAACTGTGTGGCTGGGTAAGCATGTGTTCAGTGGGCGGGGTGGGGGGCCCAACTGCCTACTGGGAGTTCTCCAAGTGACCTTTCACAGAGAATACAATGTTTAGGAAAGGATAGGTAATAAAAATATGCCAAAAAGTCTATATATGTTTTATTAAAACTCAACAGCCATTGTGCCAACTGTTGAGAACTTAGAATAACAACACTATTTTTGCGGGGAGGGATATTTTATCAGATACTGTTTGAAATTGCCCACACGGTGCCTGGGTGGCCCAGTCAGTTATGTGTCTGACTCTTGATTTCAGCTCAGGTCATGATCTCACAGTTCGTGAGATCAAGCCCTGTGTTGGGCTCTGTGCTGACAGCGCGGAGCCTGCTTGGGATTCTCTCTCTCTCTTTTTCCCTCTCTCTCCCTCTCCCCTCCCCCACTCGTGCTCTCTCTCACACACTCTCTTTCTCAAAATAAATAAACTTTCAAAATAAAATACAATTGCTCCTATATGGCGACCATAAAAAGTAGACTCACTTTTGGCTTTATTTTATTCTCAGTCTTAAAGTCCCTTCAGATAATGCACCCCGTCTTGCTTGCAACCAGCGGAAGATGGCCCTACCACTGCTCCCCTCCAGTTCCCCGCTGTGCTTGGCTGTGTCGTTGGTGTTCGTTCTTGTCGCAGCTTAAAATCAAAGCTCTACCCCTGTATTTATGAAAGCTGTCCAATCAGCTCCCTGTTTTGTTTTTTTTTTTTTAATTTTTTTTTCAACGTTTATTTATTTCTGGGACAGAGAGAGACAGAGCATGAACGGGGGAGGGGCAGAGAGAGAGGGAGACACAGAATCGGAAACAGGCTCCAGGCTCTGAGCCATCAGCCCAGAGCCCGACGCGGGGCTCGAACTCACGGACCGCGAGATCGTGACCTGGCTGAAGTCGGACGCCCAACCGACTGCGCCACCCAGGCGCCCCCAGCTCCCTGTTTTGAAGCAACATCACTAAAACGGATGGTGGAGGGTTTTCCCGTGACAAATCCCAATCTCCCCTATGCTGCCTCTTCTCCAGTGCCAGCCAATTGACATAAAGGTTATATACTTGAAAGGCAAAAGAGAAAACCATGCCTGTACGTTTCCGACTCTTGTCGGCGAATCCAGCACAGGTGCGGCTGCCGCGTGCCTACCGCCAAGAGCATTTTCTTCATCTCGTTGAACTCTGCGGACGCTGGGAAGTAGCTATAAAAATGATCAGCATCCCTGTTTTTCAGGTAAGAGAGCGAAAGCTCGGAGAGGTGAAGTGAATTGGCCGTGGCCTCAATCCTGATCCGTACCCGGCTGGTTTAGCTCTCAACTATCAGTGCGGGCCACTCAGTGTGCGTGCGAAACGTTAAATCTCTAACGTTCTAGAATGAACGTGTTCATCAGGTTTATTGGAAGATAAGAGGAGCAAAGCAATACTAAGACTCTGGCATGAAAGGCAGGCTCCCAGCTCCCCCTGGGCCACCAGGCGTGAGGAACGAAGTCAGAAAGAACAAATAGGAGGTGCCAAGTGTCACTTAACCCTAATGGTTCAGAGGCGAACATCATGAATGCATCCTTCTCACAAACCTTGGTTGAGCACCTTGATTGTAACAAGTGCTTCCCCAGACGCCACAACAGAAACATTTTCCCCTCCACCTGAGATGGGGCTGTCCGAGGAAGGCATCACCATGAGGAAATGTTGAAGCCCATGTGGCCCAGGCCAGATCTTAGAGAACTCACATTCCAAGTGGAAAACAAGGGGGGAAAGTCTGGCTGTTTCCACAAGCTAGGGAGACAAGGGACTTCATCCAATTATAGGCTTCCTCCTTGAGAATTCGTTTTCCATCAAAGATACACTTGGCCTTGGGGTTGGCCAACCCCTTACTCATAGCATTGGCTTGGTGATTTTGTGTCAGGCTGTTGGTCCTGGACCTAACGCTTTTATTTCCTCAGCTGCTCTCACCCCAAAGCACAGCCATTTCCAGAAACACTGGCAGCTTCCCAAGTATGAAGTCATAAGTTTCTAAGATTCTCTGGTGTATCCAGCACTCAAATTTCCCAGACCACCACCTTGACCGCAAGTCCCATTGTTCCCTGGACATCCATATGTTCTGGTGATTGGAACCTTGAGCTTTGGGACATTGGACCTGTTTCCCTTCCTGAAAGCAACTCCAAATCAGCCCTTAGCACAGCCGTCTCCCACAATGCCCTTGGTGGGAATGGTCTAAGTCCTTTATGACCAGTATGGAAAGTTATGTAGAAAACTGTAGCCATTACCTGAATACGTTTTGGCCAAAATAGCACTTGAGTCTGAGATACTGGAAAGCTGAGACTTTAAAGGGGTTCTTGGGGACTTTTCCTGATTCCCCCTCAAGTGATCCATATGACAGTCATGATTCCCCATTTCTCCCTTGTATAGCCCAGTCTGGGTTGCAGAGGCATTTAGTGCCCCATCTACTCAGAATCCCTGGTAGACCCCAGAGCTCCATGAACGGACTTCCATGAGAAAAGAGAAAGGCATTGTCTCTCTCCTGCCTTCCGTGTACCACAACTGCCTGTGCCCACCCCACTCTGTGGTGGCTGCCCCCTCCCTTGTTCAACCTCTGAGTTTTCACTTTTTGCAAAGTCAGTCCTTCCTTGGATGGAAACCACCCGTTGCTTCAATAGCCCAAGGAAAAACTCCTTCCTTTGGGGCATCCGTGGAGTCTGCCTTGTCCAGTGACCCTAGAGTTGTCAGAGTGAGCTGGTCCAGTGAGCTTCTCCTTATCATGCCATTGGGAATTTGGCTCCTTTGAAGAGACTGCTCTGTGCCCACCAGAGTGCTGCTTCCAGATGGGCTTCCTGAGGAAACTGAGGCTCAGAGAGTTGAAATGGCTCATCTAGGGTCACTTAGGCAGCAACGGTGAAAAACCCAACCCCACACCATGTCTCTCAGCCAAGGCTGTGTCTTCATTCATTATATCATTAGATATGCCCTGAGTTTGGCTTCAATGACCTCCAGAGCTCTGCTCAGACACCCTTCTCTCCTGATTCCATTTCTTCTTTAGTTTTGTCAGTGGTTCTGTCTCTTCCCACATGAATCTTTCTACATCAAAGTCACTCAACAGTTCCTAAGAGTCACTGGAGTACCCCGTATATTGCAGAGCCCTGTGCCAAACAAGTTCCATGAAACGTCTAGAAAAAGACTCCTTGTTTCTGCCTCACAGCATTTCCTCCATGCCCTTCCAGCCCATCCAAATCCTCCCCACTCTTTCAGGGCTGGCTCGGGGTCCCCTAGAGCTCTGCTGCCTGGTACAATAGCCACTCACCACTGGTGGCCACTGAGCACTTGAACGGTGGCTGGTTTGAATTGAGATGAGCTAAAAGTGTAAAATACACATACCAGATTGCAAAGACTTAGTATGAGAAAAAGAATGTAAAACATTCTCAGTAATAATTTTTGTATCGATTACTTACAAAAATGACAACATTTGAGTATGTAGGGCTCAATGAAACAAACACCTAAAATTAATTTCACCAGTTTCCTTTTGCATTATTTGTAAATGTGGCAACTAAAAAATTCAAAATTACATATGAGGCTTGCCTTGTATTTCTACCGGGCAAAGATGCTTTAGAAAGGGAGAGTATTTTTAGTCCAGGAGAGGCAGGGAATCATTCTTCATTCACCAAAAAAGTCAAGGAGCAGACATTCATTAAATACATGAAGAATAAAAGCAAAGCATTGTGCTCGTTGTTACAGGGGGTACACATTTAATAAGACAGGTTCCTGCTCTACAAGGGCTTGCGTCGTCAAGGGCTAGAAGCTCATACAAATTGCTGGGTTCCCAAATGGCCAGAGGACAACACTAACTGAGGTAAAATTGCACACTTTGGGGATATATAGGTAGAGGCAGGTTGGGGGGACTTCACAGCACAGGAGGAGTTTTTAGGATATCAGTTTTTGGAATCTCCAATGGAAACCAAAATAACAATAGCTTGAGAAAGACAGTGAGAGAGAGGGAGGGAGGGAGGGAGGAAGGGAGGGAGGGAGGAAACTTTCATTATCCCTCAGATTATCGCTTGGACGCCAATTACCCAGGACTGATGGGACAGCTGCACCATGTTGAGAACCCAGGCACCTTCCGTCTTGTTGCTCTGCCAAGATACCAAATCCTGACACCAAGTTCACGTTCCTGCCAGCAAGAAGGGCGGAAGGAGCCAGTTCTGAGTCACACAGCTGCGCTTAGCTTTAGGGATGGCTCGGAATGTTTCACTTTTTGCCATGAGTCCAGCTCAAGCTCAGGGTGTCTATGACCACCAGAATCAGAAGAGAATGGATCTTGCAGAGTAGCTCACATTCTCTGCCACAGAGGGATTATCTGGGCCGAACCAGGATGAATGGATAGGATTTAGTGGGTGGGGATTTAAGAGATGCCAGCCTGCAGGAACCTCATTAACAAAAACACCACAGTGTGAGAGCATCTGGCAAGTTTGAGGGATGACGGAGTGAAACATGAAGGAGATGCCTCGGTCTGAGATAAAGAATCGGAACTCTTTGGAACGTCCTCTGTACGGCCAGAAGCACTATTTGGTCTCCTGGGTTATTTCTCAAGCGAAGCTGGGTGTTCCTGTAAAGCTCCAGGGATATCCGTCACCTGGAAAGGAAGCAAGCTAAGGGTGGGGACCCACAGAGCCACTGAGCCTGTGCAGACAAGGACCAAACAAGACATACAGGACTAGAGGATCCCCAAGTGTGGGCACAACAAAGTCATCCTAACCAGGAAAAGCCTCAGTAGGCATAGAGACCATGGATTTCCCATGTCACTGGATCCCTAAGTTTGGTTAAGTCAGGTCTGGAATCTCCCCAATGAATCTGTCATTAATCACCTGTACAGGTAGCTTGTGCCTACCATATGTTTGCAGTCTGTCTCCTGTCGCTAGAATATGCCATGAATAAGGGCAAGAGCTTTTGTTTGTTGCCTGCGGGATCCCCAGCATGTAGAACATAGCAGGGACTCAGTAAATATTTGTTAGATGAATGAATGAATAAATCATCAGCACCCACGGTAAAACCCCTGTGTAACACCAAAGAAGACATTTGAGAATGTGACGCTCTTGTGACAACTTTGCTGCAAGAAATAAGAGAGGTCATATTTGTTGCTCCATAAGTTCCCATTAGCCAGACTTCTTATTTGTTTTCCCCACAGCGCTCTGAGAAGGGCATTGTTCCCATCTCAAATGAAGACACTGAACCTCAGTAAACCTGCAGTTGACCCTGAACAACAAGGGTTTGAAATGTGGAGTCCACTTACGCGTGGATTTCCTATACTGCCGAACTAGAAATGTATTTTCTCTTCCTTATGATTTTCTTAATAGCATTTTCTTTTCTCTAGCTTACTTTATTGTAACAGTATGCAGGGGTGCCTGGGTGGCTCAGTCAGTTATGTGTCCAACTCTTGATCTCAGCTCTGGTCATGATCTTACAGTACGTGGGTTCGAGCTCCGCATCGGGCTCCACGTTAATGGTGCAGAGCCAGCTTGGGATTCTCTCTCTCTCCCTCTCTCTCTGCCCCTACCCGGCTCGTTCTGTCTGTCTCTCTCTGTCAAAGTAAATAATAAAAAATTTTTTTAAAAACGAATACAGTACATAATACATATCATATACAAAATATGTGCTAATCGACTGTCTGTGTCATCTGTAAGACTTCCGGTCAACAGTAGGCTATTAGTAGTAAGTCTGGGGGGCAGTCAAAAATTATACACAGATATTCAACTGCGAGAGGGTCAGTGCCCCTAACCCTTGCGCTGTTCAAGGGTCAACTGTGAGTGCCTTGCCTAAGGTCACCGAGGGAGGAAGAGAGAAGTCTGAGATTCAAACTTTCAGCTCCAGAACTACTGTTCTTTCTGCCTGTTTCTTTTCTTGCATAACACTCCCAAGATTGTCGATCAATGTCTCCACTACAGATAAACCCACACCAGACGCTCCAATGTCCCCGCCCCAGCCGATGTGAAAATCTGTTGGTCGGGTATCACGTGACCCTCCTCAGGAAAAGAACTGGCCTTGCCTGAGACCACGGGGGGTACCAGGCACTGTAGTAGATACTTACCACGCAATGCCCTCTTCCGTCTTCACACAACCCCGTGAGGCTGGGACTATCACTTAGCTCCGTTTGGGGAATTAGTAGGATTCTGAAATCGCCTTTGCTTTTCCTCCAGGTGCCAAATCCCTGAACTGCTAAACGAGAATGGGGTAATCCTGGTATTCGGAGCTAGTGAGTAACTTTGCCAAAGTCTGTATGAGCAGCTGGAAAAAACACTAGGAGAGACACATGTACCAGCCAAGGAAAAACTCTTGTGGTTGGTAAATAATGCAGGATCTGTATGGTGGGTTCCAGGCAGAAAGGGAGATTTAATTTCTCCTTATGCATTTTTCTTATTAAAAAAAAAAAAAAAAGAGTTTCAGCACTGAGCGCTTTAATCACAGCATCGTGGCATATGTGTGGTGCTGACATCTGGAAATATTTAGCAGTACCACAAACAAATAGTTAAGGAGTTCACCCAGAGCATCCAACACAAATTTGACTCTAACCCAGATTCCTAGCAGCACCTATCAAGAGTGAAAGAGCGTGAAATTCCTGCATACGTCTCACCTTCCTCTGTACCAGCCACAAACACAGTTGGATCCGACTCCTGGGCCTGGAAGAGACAGGGGGATCCTGGTATGTTTCCCACCGGCAGGATCAGTGGGACCTGGCAGAGCCCCTCTTCCCCATAGATGCTATGGAATGGGCTGGGCAGACTCACCAGCTTTAGTTCCAGATGGAGCTAGACATTGCCACACACACACACACACACACACACCCTGGCCAGCGCCTGCTGGGCCTTCTTCCCTACTGGGCCGGACCAGCCCCTTGCCCTGTACTTCCAAACCCAGGCTGCTACTCTGGGTTACTCCAGTTCAGCCAATGCACCTTGCCTGCTATTTCCATTGTCATCGGGGCTTTCAGAGTCTTTGGGACACTCCTGCTGCCCCAGGATTACCAAACTGTTCCACCAAAGAACACACGTACCCAAACAAAATCTGAATCCCTCCTCTTCCAGCTCTGCCGGACCCCAATCCCACCCCAACCTGGCCCTCCTTGGCTTTTGCTCTTTAGTTTCATAGAGAGAATGTTGGGAGATTATATCAGGTCCCTGGATATACTTGCGTATGTCCCTTCACTACAGAATTAAACTCATGCCCCTCCCCAAACTTACTTTCCTTTCTATATTTAGTCCTGACTCAGTGATTAGCAACGCTGTCTGCTCAAAGATAGAAACCAGGAGGCCACCCCAGACTCCTCCTTCCCCCTCACTGCCTCCATATCCAAAGAAATACCAAGTCCAATGACTTTTTTTTATCCTAAAAAACTTCTCACAGTTGTGCCCTCCTACCTATCTGCCTCTGTTAGCTCTCAAATAATTATTACAATACCCTCTGAGTTGGACCTCTAGCCCCTAATGCCTACAACAGTCTTCCTAAAACATGAATTGGATTATGAGCTTCTCCTCCTTGGAAGCCTTCGTTGACTTCCCAAGTGAGTGATGAATGATCTTCTCTCCTGGGAAATGTAGCCCAGCTCTCCAGCCTTTCTCCTCTCTCTCCCTCCTGGCTTTAATCTCCAGATCAAAGGGCTCCAACCAAGGTCTTGCAACCAAGGGCTGCAAAGTCCATGAGCCACTGAGATGTGCAAAACGCCCGGCATATGCATGGTTTCTAGAGCGATTTCCAATCGTGTTCTAAGGGTTCTCAAGAGTCCATAACTTGAACAGAAGTCACGAATGCCTTCTCATGTGGCATTCCTTCACAGGCTTACCTCCACTCGTCTCACACATAGCTTGTCAGAAACATCCACACATATTTGACCATAACCTAGGGTAAGAAATCGATTTTATTTATATATAAAACAGAACCAAACCTTTACCGAAAAGTTCTTAAGCTTACTATATCCTACGCATGTTAATCCTTCCTATTTTTGCTATTTCCGGTTTTTAATACCGACTGCGACCGCTTAAACTCATTTTACAACCCACCCGCCAATGGATCCAACCTGCAGTTTAAAATTTAGGTCTTGGTACTATACCGTCTTTGTGGTTCTCTATTATTTTTTGTCTTGACTCCCAACTGGACTGTAAACTCCTTGAGGGCAGGGATCATGATATACACATTTTCAATACTGCCCATAGCACAGAGTAAGTGCCTTAGAAATGCAGGAAATCCCCTGGAAGGAATGTGGGAAGGCCCTGAAACAAAGATTTCCTCGGTATAGAAACTGCCAACTATTTTATGTATGGGGATGTAAAAATAATGACTTAATGGAATAGAATTCCCTGGGCCGTACCTGGGAGTAAGGTGGGGTCGCTGTGGTCTTGGTTTAGTATAATCACCGTCCACGAAGTCCAGTCTGGGTTTATGCGGTAGGAAATACATGGGCCCATGAATAGCTCAGCAGAACAATAAAGCCTAAACACTTTGAGGTCTCTCTCCCACTAGACGTAGGAGAAAAAAAACTAAATTATTAATGGAATTAAAACGCGGCTTTGCAGAAGACACAGAGGTGAGGAAGTAACTTTTTTTTATTATTAAATCTATCGATCAGTCTTTGAGAATTTGTCATTCTCTGCTATACCAGGCAGAGGATTTTATTTTATTTTTATTTTTTTCACGTTTATTTATTTTGGGGAGAGAGAGAGAGAGAGACAGAGAACAAGTGGGGGAGGGGCAGAGAGCAGGAGACACAGAATCCCAAACAGACTCCAGGCTCTGAGCTGTCAGCACAAAGCCCTATATGGGGCTCAAACTCATGAACCACGAGATCATTACCTGAGCCGAGGTCAGACGCTCAACCGACTGAGCCACCCAGGCGCCCATCCGGGCAGAGGATTTTAAATACACGAAGCCATCTCTCCAGAGCTTGATAAACCAGTAAACGTGTGGAAACCAACAGACCGAAATGGCTAAGGGTTCAGCTGCGGGTACGGACACTAAAGGGAAAGTTCAGGAAAGGAGATCTTATACCCCACAGAGGGAAATTCTTCCTTCTGCCCCAAAGCTAACTAAGGTGCGGGTGTTACCTTGGCATAAACATCAATATCACAGGAAAACAGAGGCTGGATAAGCCGGACGACCTTTGTCAACCGCAGTGTCTGCTCCCAAGGGCAGGAAGGCGGTGCCGGCCGGTTTGTGGAGGGAACAGGTGCTGCCACGTGGGAGGTCGCTCCGCCCCACAGCCCACAGAGCTCCCCACGCGAGAGAGGGAGAGTGCCTCCTCTCTCCCACAGAGATGCCCCTTGGCAGCATTCATGGGGCTAGGCTGCTCCCCAGCTTGAGGATCCCACCTGACCCCCAAACCCCATCACACACAGACCCGGAGGCACATCACCCAACTGGTACGACCCTGTTCTCCTGACCCCCGAAGTGAGAGAAGACGATCCCCGCCTTGAGGAGGTGCTGAGATCTCGGGCATTCAGGACCTAGAACACAGCATGCGCTCAGTCGAGGGCAGGTGCTGTTTCTCTGGATTTTGTTCGCTTCGTTGATTGACTTACACTGCACGCACTCCTGCCTTTGTCGCTCTGGGCCGCCAAGGAGTGTGAGGGCTGAGAGGGAAACTGACGCAGCTCCAGAAAGGAAGCCCGGCCCTGGGCATCAGCCCAGCCCAGAGGCACACACCTTGAGCGCGCTGGATCCTGCACCATAGCAGCAATGGCAGTAACGGGGATGGCCCAGGCCCTCAGGACATAGGACGTGAGGAAGTCGACTTGAATAAACACCAGCAGTTCACGTTCAAGTGTACTTTGGCTGAGACGCCAGCCCATCACACTTCCATTACCGGTAGCTCCTGCTTCTCCCCGACGCCCCCAGTCCGCACCCACACCGACGGCTCAGGAGCAAGGTGATTCGCCCTTTGGACACGAAGGGGGAGCCCCTGGTTCACATCCTGCTGATGATGCTTTCCGGAGGCCAGCGTGCTCTCTGCATTCTTGAGTCCAGAAGCATGAGAACAGGAGGAAATGTCCAGCCTGGCATACTTCAGTAAAACAAAATAAACTCAGCTACAAGTAGTTACAAAACTGCTCTCCGGGGAGCGGTTCCCGCCTCCGACACACTCCCCGGAGACTCATGCTTTTAAAAAGAGATTTAAAATTCCCACCCTATAGTAAATGCTCTTTCAATCACGACGCAGCAAAACCGTGGCCCCACCATGAACTCATACTGCCTTCCTCCCTGCTCACCGCTGCCTCTAAGCCCTGACAGATTTCCCCTGGGTTTAGGGTGGCTTTTTGGTTTGTGTGTTTCTTAGGTTTTTTGGCCCAGTGCATTGAAGTGCAGCCTACTCCCTGCAATTCGATATTTGCCTTGTGGACAACCTCGGGCCATTCAACACAGACAACCCAATCACAGCACGCTGCGGCCAGCTTGCCCGGCTCCTAGGAAAAGCTAACGATGACCCCGCACAGGAGCACGGGGCCTGAGACCTTCCACTTGGTTCCCAGCCTGCACGTGAAAGAGGGAGTGAGAAGGAAGACACGCGACCTCTCCCCAAACGCAACTGTGGCAAAGATTGCTGGTGGCCTGACAAAACCATCTTTGGAGACTCTCTACCTGGGCGGGCACATGGCCGCCCAGAATAGAGGTTACATCCCAGCCTCTTCTGCAGCCATAGAAGTTCTAGATAACGGAATGTAAGCAGAAGTGTCCTGTGGCTGCATTTTTGTTTTGTTCTCTGCTTTTCCCCCTCTTTCTGCCTGCCGCCTGAAACGCGGGTGCTGCCATCTTGGACCAGGAGAAAGAGAGTCAAGGGCCAAGCAAGGGCCAAGTGGAGGGTCGGGGAAGGCGGGGCCCTAAGGATTCCGCGGATCGCTTCCCCCCGGGCTCAGTTTATGTGAGACAGAAATAAACTCCTATCTGGTTTAAGCCACGGTGATACTATTTTCTGAATCTTGGAATTGAATCCGGCCCTCCTCATTCCAACAGTTCCATCTCAGGACAAAGTCACCACTGAAAATGGCTGGCAGGTCTAATCCACTACGGTCCATCTACAAAGCTATTTATTCCTCGCAGCGAGCGCCGAAAAATACACGTTGTCACCAAAGCTACTTGAGATGGTTTCTAGAACAGCAGAGCCACAAGTTCACCCGTTCGTTTATCCACTGTCCCACGTGTGCACTTGGTGCCGGGTGCTAGGCCGGATCCCGGAGGTACAGACATAAACAGGATGGACTGGGCCCTGTCCTCCCAGGAAGGGCTCCCACTCTCACAGGGAAGAGAAGCCAGAGAACAAGCAATGAGATGAGGGGAGGAAAGCGTGAAAAGGACAGCGTGGCGTGGAGAGTCAGCCCTGGGAGGAAGCCCGTCCGCTGACAAGCACGACCATGTGTCCCTCGCTTGTCAGACTCACTTTCATGGGAGGAGAGGGCAGTCTGCAGGGAGGAAAAATGGGTGGGCAGGCCAAGGGAGAAACGTGCAGGAGATCAGGGCAAAGGGGAAGTCGCCACCACTGTGCTGGGCCACCTCCACGTCCGGGCCAGGTGTGGGTACAGGCCACTGGCTTCTCCTCTAGGTGCAGTGGGGACAGACATAGGCCACTGTGTCCCCTTGGGAGCGACTTGGCCTTTGTTCTCTCCTGCTTTGTAATGCCTCCTCCCCCAGCACCTGCCCCGCTTGCCTGCAGAGACCTCAGAACCAACGCTCCACCAGGGAACAGCCCTCTCTAGACATCTCCCCACTCGGCTGTCTGGTTCTCACTCAGCACTGTCCTCTGATCCCCACCAATGTCCCCACCAGAACCTCACTCCCCAGGCTTCTCCCATCATGGTGTAAGGGTGCATCCCTCTATTTTTTAAAAATGTTTATTTATTTTTGAGACAGAAAGAGAGAGAGAGAAAATTCGAGAGCTGGGGAGAGGCAGAGAGAGAGAGAGAGAGAGAGAGAGAGAGAGAGAGAATCCCAAGCAGTGTCTACATTGTCAACGCAGATCCCAGTGCAGGGCTTGATCTCACGAACCTTGAGATCATGACCTGAGCCGAAATTAAGAGTCAGAGCGTTAACTGACCAGGCCATCCAGGAGCCCCAGGGCTCATCCTTCTAGTCAATCCCCCATTCCTTTTCTAATCATTCTGCTTCCCTTTCCAGATATTGATGCTGTGACATCCAAAGAAAAGCGACAGAATCTTTGTAGGTTCAAGGAGACGTAAGAATCGGGACAAGTAAATGCAGTGAACGAGTCGGAACTGGATTGTGGAAGGAGGGTGGGGAGTGTTATAAAAACATTATCGGGACCTTCCTTGGTGACATGTGAATATCGACTTCATGTTAGATCATAGCATTGGATGAGATCATCGTGTCATGGTTATATAAGAGCGAGGCCCTCTTGGGAGATATTTGCTGGAGTATTTCAGGGTGAACAGCCATATTGTCTGCAACACAATCCCAAACAGTTCAGCAAAATAAAATGCGAATAATATGTATTCAAAGAGAGAGAGAGAGAGAAATCTGTATGAAAGGTATATAGATGTTCCTTGTACTATTCTTGCAACTTTTCTGAGGAAAAGAAAAATTCTTTTCTAAGAATTTCTTTCAAAATACAAAGTGGGGGCGCCTGGATGGCTCTGTTGGTTAAGCATCCAACTTTGGCTCAGTTCAAGACCTAGCGGCTCATGGGTTCAAGCTCCACGTCAGGCTCTGCGCTGACAGTGAGGAGTCTGCTTGGGATTCTCTCTCTCCCTCCCTCTCTCTCTCTGCCCCTTCCCTGCTCATGCTTTCTCTCTCTCTCTCTCTCAAAATAAATTTTAAGTAACTACAAAGTAAAGAGAAACATCTTAAAGATTAGAGAGAAAGAAGAAGAAAAGAAGGAACCCAGAGGCAGGCGTGGAGGTATTACCAAAAGAAGAGTCTGAGAGTCGCCTGGGTGGCTCAGTCAGTTGAGCGTCCGACTTCAACTCATAATCTCATGGTTCGTGAGTTTGAGCCCCGCATCGGGCTCTGTGCTGACAGCTCGGAGCCTGGAGCCTGCTTCAGATTCTGTGTCTCCCTCTCTCTCTGCTCCTCCCCTGCTCATGCTCTGACTCTCAAAAATAAATACACATTTAAAATAATATAAGAATAATAATCAAAATATTAAGAAGAGTTTGAAAGAGCTAAAAGGTCACCCAGAAGGGAGATGACCACGGGAGACGTGGTCTAGTCTGAGAAGCCCTCGAGACCGGGGACAGAGCCTCATGGTTTCCCGGGCTCCAGACCCCAGCCTCCCTGCATGATAACAGCCCTCCTTAACTTTGTTTGCCCTGCTATTTATAGAGCGACTGCTTTCTACATAAGGCCCCGAAATAGAAATGTTAAAAGAGCGGCTGGTGCCTCACGGGAACCTAATAAAACGTCTGTTTCCAAACAGTCCTGCTTCTGTCATAAATATTCTGTGGTTCTTGCTCCTTCCTACTTTATTAGCAGGCGCATTTGCATCAAAATGGGACTCCATTTATTAAGAATTTATCTCTCCCTGCTGTTTACCACCTGCCTCAAGGTTCACGGGGCCGCCTGGGACGTTGCCCACGATGGGGTCACACTGGCCTTAAGCCCAAAGGTGACTTCCGGGTCCCTTCGTCTTCCCAATTTATCGTTGGATGGTGTCTTAATTTGCTCAAGCAGATTACCACAGACTGTGTGGCTTAAACGAGAGACATTTCTTTCTGGAGGTTGGAGGCCCAAGATCAAGAGGCTGGCCCATGGGGTTCCTGGTAAGAGCTCTCCTCTTGGCTTGCAGATGGCCGCCTTTTCTCTGTGTCCTCACATCTGGACTGTGGGAAGGGGCAAGTGAGAGGGGTGTCTCTTCTTACAGGCACACTAATCCTAGCAGGTCAGGGCCCCACCCTAATGACCCTATTTCACCCTAACTGCCTCCATAAAGGGCCTGTCTCCAAATACAGTCCCATTGGGGGTTGGGGCTTTCACATATGAATTGAGTGGGGACACCATTCAGCCCCGAACACACGAGCTGTCGCTGAGGCCCCCAAACCCTTCTTTTGGTGAGAACCAAGGCTGCCCCCTCCTTTCGGCTGCCTTCGGGCCTTGCCTACCATCTCCCCGCTCTTTGCCAGATCGTGGCCTTGGCCTACCTCACACTGAGGGGACCGAGGGCCAGACCAGAGGCAAGGTGGCTGGACAGGCCCAAGGCGCTGCATGTGGGAAGCAGGCAGGGGTGCAGGCTGCCAGTCAGGTTGGGCCCTGTCCGTGAAGCCCCGTCCGGGCTCCGGCCCTCCTCAGCCCAGGGCAGCCTCTGCCCAGGAACTGACCGTGAGAGAGCCACCGAGTGACCCCGGCACTGGGCACTCAAGGGCTCTGAAGGGCTCCGAGCACAGCAGTCCTCACGTGCGACTGCCATTCAGCTTTTCTGCTCATTGTTGCGTGCCTAACAATCAGGAATGTTTTACTTGGAACCGGCGTGCAATCCCATCATGCTCTACTTCCTTTGTACCGAACAAGTGTTATTTAATGGGGCAGTTTTGATTGTTTTGGAGATAGGCACATATTTGGAAAGAGGAGGGGTTTGTGTGCCTTGATTATATTGGCCGGCTTCCTTTATTTTTTCTGGGAAATCCTTCTTCCCGTGTGTAGAGATGGTAAGTCTCACAGAACCGCCCAACAGAGCACATGAGACCCTTGCCCCCCCCTCCTGGGGCAGTTTCATCCCAGCCTGCCCGCTCGGGGTCCTGGGAGGCCACGGGGCAGGGGCAGGGGCTGAGTCAGTGGCGCCTTGGGAAGCTGTAACGTCACACTTAGGTGAAGCCATCCACGTGAGCTGGCCTGTCTGCTCGGTACTGGAGACGGGGACATATCAAATTCCGAGTGGGCTCCAAAGGCCTCGTGCTGGCCCCGGGTCAGCACAAGCGTCTGGGGCCCCCTCCCTTCCCTTTCCGCTCCTTTCCTTCAGCTCTCCCCCGCCCCCCTCCACCGGGAGGCCTTTCCTCTCTCACGGAATGTCAGCCTTCAATGGAAGAATGACCATTGTTCCTTCTCAGGGAAGAGGCCTTCATGACCGCTGTCCTTTCTCGCATCCTGTTCCTGGATTCTGAGTCCCACTGTGGGGCCGCCTAGGCTTTCTGCCCACCTGGGAGCCCGCCTGCCCTGGGATTTGCACCCCCCCCCCCCCCCCCCGCGCTCTCCTTCTCTCCCAGCCAGCTGGCTCTGGCCTTTCTCCTCTTCCCTCTTCAGGGCCACCAGACTCCTTGTGGGGAAGCGTCCTCCAGGGGTGGGGGTGGGGGGGCACCTAGCTGGGCGGCTCCGCCTTCTGCTTCCCCATCTTCATGCTCTGTGCATCATGGGACACACTCGTCCAGGACCTCATGTGAAAAGACCCACAGCCAGCTCCCCCACCAGGGTCCTGGGTGCTTCTTGGTGGCACCATCTGGGATGCAGACCACAGAGGGCTTGCTGACTCACCGGGGATGGAGGTGACTGTCTCCCATGTCTTTCAGGGCACGAGGAGGCCTAGTCGGCGTCATGTCTCACAGACTCACAAAGTCCCCTGCTTGCTCGCCAGCCCCTAGTCCCGGGGAGCCATTTCTGCAGGCTGATTACCACCCAGGGACCCAAGGACACCAGGCCTGCGTCCTGCTCCACCCCCAAGTCCCAAGGCCCAGGACAGGGGCGGCTGGCTTGGGAGCTGGAATCCAGAACATTACTCCTATCTCTGCAGCTACATTTTCTCTTCACCATCTGTAAGTTCGGTTCCTTCTGAACCCTCAAAAAGTCGAATGTGATCACTTCCCTACACGGGGATATAGGCGTGGAGCCCAAGGATCTTTCACGGAAAACACCAAACCTGGAAGGTGGCCCTGAGAACGTGCTCTGACCCCTGTGCGTGTCCAGCTTGTCTCCTGCTTGGGGGCCACGGCGCGAGCGAGGGCAGGAGGAAGATCTTTGCACACAGCTTCTTGTACGGTGCGCATCCTGTCCTCTGCCAGTCTCCTCTTCGTCATCCTCACCGGGAGAGAGAGAGAGAGAGAGAGAGATGTGCTTCACAGCTTTTGTAATTTCGTTTTCCTGCCGTTATGAAATGTCCTAGTAAGCCCACACTTCAGCCAAGCTCAAAGGAAAATCAGTTGCGTTTCCATCCCTGGACACAAAGCGTACCTGCGGGAACTGGTGGGAGCTCCCCTGCTCGGGGTCCCCAGGGCACGGCCTGTTTGGACCCCATCCCCAAATCCACCTCTTCCCCTTCTCCCCAAGGAAGGGTGTGGAGGTAGAGGCTAGAGCCCCCACGGGACCCAGCCAGGCCGCGGCCAGCACCCACACGAGGCCAGCTGTCCCCTTCAGACACAGGATGTCAGGTCAGCGCAAGCCAGAGGCCTTGGGACCGAGCCCCGGGCCAGAAACTACACCGGCTGAGATATTTATTAGAAACAAAAGAGCCCGCGGCCCCTCTGTGACGGAAGAGTCAGCTGGGAGCAGCGTGCAGATTAACTGCTGTGTGTCAGAGGTTGTACCCGATTCAGAGACACTGTGGCCCTGTTTCTTTCATGCTCAAGGGAACAAGAGGCCTGGAGAGGCCCAGTGTTGACCCAGACCAGGAGTCACAGCTGGAAGGGAGAAACACTCTGAATCTAATCTAAGGGCTTCTGTTTCCTTCTGTTAATGGGCTCCCTAATCCAGGGCTCTCCTCCCCCTGGGGCCCCTCCTTGGCCAGGGTGACTCACTACTATGCCAGCATATGCAGACGGCCTCAACGGTAGGGTCTCTGCTTGCTCTCCATTAGGAACCTTCCCACCATGGCCCACGACTGTCACAAATGCTGGTGCTTTCCAGGGGTTTCTCCCTCCACCCAACCTCTTTCTGCAAGAGAGCTCCTCTTCTGCTCCATGATTCCAATCACCTGCTGCTTTCCATGGCTCATGCCTCTAGCATG